AGACAGCATCCGGCTCTCCCACCCAATTAGAGGCACTTCCCCCATCAGAATGGGGGCTCTTCTAGGAAAGGAATTGTGCCTCCCTCATCAAATTAGAGGTATCCTCAAGACTGGGACTGTTAGATGGGAGGCTCCCTCAAGACAGACTGTCTCCTCCATCGCACTGGGGGTACCCAAGTACCAGGATCACTTCTCACACCTACTTGGAATCACTGGCCCTCTTCCCGCCCCCCACCTTCCTCACAACCCTCACAGTCTGGGGGTGGGAGATGGAAGACAGCCTCCCTCCATCTCACTCCTAACTCTTGGCTGTGGCCCGGGTGGCCCTTCCCAGGATCCCAAGATCAGGAAGTCTTGTTTGCTGTTTTTCTGGGAAAGCAAGCCTTCCGTGGCATTCCCTAGCAACCACAAGCCAGCCCCACCAGAAGCCCTGGCCAAGAGACCAGCAGAAGCTGAGCAGCTCTGCCCGACCAGCTTGGGAGCCCTGCACAGGCCCGGGGCCTGGAACCCTGTAGCTCCTGGACCAGGCAGGGCTCGAAGCCAGGCAGGAGCCGGGGTTGGGACCTGCCTGGGAGAGCCACAAGGGAGGGGCCTGCCCAGCTCCAAGCAGGGCCAGCCAGGCTCCTGCCAGGCCATCTGGAGCCAGACCTTGTGTGTCTGCATGTGGGGAGGGGGGAATGTCTCCCAGGCCATGTGGGTGGCTGGGAGCTGTGGGGTTGTGACCTGGCCCTCCTAGCAAGCCTCTAGCTCCCCTGTGGTCAGTTTCACTTCTGACATCTGGTCAAGTTCACAGCTGGCCAGCTTCCTGCATGGCTATTTTCACTTTCCCTCTCCAAGATCTGGGGGCAAGGGCCCCCATTCCTTCCCTCTCCCACTTCAATTAACTCCATGGTGACACATGTGAATTTGCTGGATTTCTGTGAAACTTTCCCATTACGAGGGGGGAAAATAGGACAGGAACTCACTGCGTTGGAAATTATACCCAGGTCCCTGCACATACACAACAACCCCCCCACCGACTCAAACCACGTGTATTTCCAGAAAATCTCTGCGTGATTTTTCTTTCTTTGCTATTTAATGCTCATCGTTTATGTTTTATGTGTAGGTTTCAGGAGGGCCCAAGAAATGATTACACAGGATGCAAGGGGCAGGTGACAGGGAGGGTGACATGGAGTCTGGAGCTCACAGCCCCCAGCTGGGGTTGGGGGCAAAAGGGTTCCATCTCAGCCCAAAGGGAGACAGGAGGGGCCCCAGAACCAAACACATGCTAAAACATACTTGCAACCCCCAACCCTCTCCCCAGCTGCTGGGAAGGAAAATAAATACCTCAGACTCTGTCCCACTCCCCAGGTGCACAGGTGAGGGGCCAGCAGGTGAGTTTCCTCCTCCCATCACAGATCCAGGTCAAAGAAATGCCATCTACATACAATGTTCCCAGTCCTTTACGCAGGGCTGGGAGGACCCTGGGCTGGGGAGGGGGTGGCTATCCGTGCACACCCTGCTCAGGGCTCGTTCATGCTAAATAGAGGGGGTGGGGCACACTCATTCCAATATCAAGCAAAACACAACAGGCCAGGAGAGACCTCATGGCCCCTTTCTGGCACCAAGCTAGGGGGAAAGCAGTCCTTCGGAGGGTCCTCCAAACTTGAGAGAGACCCTCTATGGGGTCTAACTCAGCTCCTTCTTGCTGCGTTCCCACGCTGGTCCACTTTTCCTCAGTGCGGCCTCCGGGCCGGCCCAGCCCCTGCTCGCAGGGAAGGGGTGGAGGGGGAGCATTCCTCCACAAGCAGGCCCTTGGAAGACAGGCGCCAGCTCAAGCCTCAGCCGTCCTTGGCCCGCCAAACCCGGGGGCGAGGGAGGACTGCGAGCAGAGTTCAATTCCCTTCGATGCTTCTCTGGCAGCGGCCCCGGGCAGGATCCGGTCCCAGCCCAAGAGAAAGAACTCTTGGAGAAAAGCAAAATTTCTCATCCTGTGTGTGTGTGTGTGTGTGACTCCATGTGTTGCAGGTGGGGGAGTTAGTTAGTCCCTGACCCCTAGGGCTGACTCTTGGGGAAGATGCAGCCTGGGTTAGCTCTGGGACTGTGCTGGGATGGAGGGTACCTACGGACTGGGCCACATCATGGATGCCACCCTGACCTGCGTAAGGGGACAGAGGGAAGTGGCACCCCTTTCCACAAACCCCAAACCTGCCTGGGTCTTGAGGGATCAATGGACCAGACCTTGCGTGGATCACTCCCTCTCCACAGGGGCTGGATAGGCCTGGAGATGGTGAAGGGGAGACTGGGTTTGGCTTCGAGACACTTCCTAGAGGGTCACCTGGCCCCCTTCTCCTAGCCCTCAAACAAAGCTGAAGGCTAGGGCCCTCATTCAGAGAGGGGAGGCCAGCCCACATTTGGCTCCCTGATTGCTGGGTGGCTTTGGGCAAGTCATTGCCTCTCTCTGGGCCTCACTGACCTGTACAAAAAGCAAGGGGTGTGAACTACATTTCAAAACCTCCTGCTAGCTCTGACAAACCCCTGATCCTCTGCATCTCAGGCCACAGGGGAGGGGAGAGAGGAGCTGAGGGAGATTCAGGCCACAATGATGCTCCCCTGTTCTCCAAGTTCACAGTGTAGAGTCCATGGCTCTGGTTCCCCAGTCTCTCCCTCTGAGTCTCTGGGGCCTTGTCATGCCCGCAACACCATCCCTGGTGTCAGCCCCCAAGATATGATAACCTGCTAAGGTGGGAGGAGCTGGCCCCCTTCGAAGTGTGGAGGGAAGGGAGCAGGAGGCCTGGGATGGTGATGGGTCAGGGCAGGGTGGGAGAGGCAGCAGGGGCACTTCTGGCGCTGGAGAGGGAGTGTGATCAGAAGCAATGGGGCCACACAGGAGCAGCGATGGGGCTGTGGTCCGGAGGCCCGGGCTCCGAGGCCCTGCCCAGAAGAGCGTAGCTCTGCCGCCAGCCCGTGAGGGTGGCTGGAGCATCAGTCATTGGAATGTGGGGGCAGGGCAGGGGCTCCCGGGCTGGCTCACACCGGGGATGTGGCCGTGGACTCGCTGCACAGGCTCTCCACGATGTCGGCTCGCTGGATACGGCGCAAAGCAGCCAGGAGGGTGTCAAGTGTGGCGCTGTCCTGGGTGGCCCAGCTAGCCAGCAGGGCGCGGACTGGGCAGGCCTCGCGGGTGAAGGAGTCTATGTGCTCGGGCTGGTAGCCCAGCTCGCCCGCCAGGTGCCGCCAGGTGTCCCCCGCAGAGCCATTGAGCAGCTTCTCCACCTCCTCCCGCTTGGCCAGAGGCAGGCTGCTGTAGAGTCCTCCATCACCCTTGAGGGCTGCCAAGAACCCAGGAGGGGTCAGGTGCTACCCATTGGACCCCCTTTCCCCCACAGAGGGCATGGGGGCCCGGAGTTAGACCCAAAAAGGGCCGAGGCATTTCTCTTCCCAATCTGGGGAAGCCCCAAGGGTCTAGAAGCAGAGGAATGCCCGAGGTGAGGTCCTGGATGGGGGGCAGGGCTGGTGGAGGCACCGGGGGATGCTGACTCATGTCCCTTCCTTACCTGTGGCTCCAGCACCATCCCCGCCACCTAACCCACTGCCCATCCACCACCCCGCCACCCCCACCACCAACACCAGCAATTAATCAAGGCTGAGGACACAGGACTTCTGGTTCCAGACTCAACTACAGCAAGGGTCCTGGAGCTGGGCTATGGGCCACTAATTAGGGTACGTAATCAACTGCTTGTTCCCCAGAAGTCCTGGGCAGGAGGCTAATTGCAGCCACTTTGGGGAGTAATTAGCCCTAGGGGGACAATTAGCTTGATGAGTCTAGATGCTCCAATTTGTCAGAGCTTCCATTTCCCCACCATCCCACTAGAAAGAACTCTCCTTACCCATTCGCCCACCCTGCCTCTCCCATCCTTCTACACAGAGGCGCCGGTGGCCAACCACCCCCTCACCACCCACCACAGTCCTCCCTGCCTCGGGCCCCCTGCCCAGCCTCACTGCTCACCCTGGCCTGCAGCCGTCTGCGTGTGGGGCTGCTGGTCATGCAGGCTCTGGCTGTCCACGGAGATGCCGCTGTCGCTGTGGAGTTTTTCTCCCTCGGGTGGGGGCGTCTGGTTCACGGGCCGGCTGTTGGCTCCTTGCTTGTTCTGCTTGCAGCTGTTCCACCTGGAGCCAGAGGACAGACCCCGTCTCAGGGGCTGAGGGGCTGCGCCGGCCACGTGGCTCCTCTGTTTTCTGGCATGTGGGGGCCAGGGGCATGGTAGGTCCCCAGCTGTGACCCCCCCCCACTTCCTGCATGATTCCTGAGGCTCTTCTTCCTCTCCACACCTGCCCCCAGCCCCCACCGGAAGCGCCGGGTGGGCAGAGTGGCACCCGGGGCTTGGTGTACCTGGCAAGTGTTCAATAAATGTCTGGGGGATGAATGATGCAAAAATAAATGACTTCCCAGGAATTCCACTTTTCCCAACCTACCCTGCTAAAGTACTCCCACATGTGTGCAGGGATATGTCCAAGGATTTCCTCTGCTATTATAAGCAATAAGAAAAAATTGAAAACAAACCAAAGGTCCATCAATAGGAGACTGGTTAAATAAATTATGATCCATCCATATTACTGAATGAGCGGTTACAAATGATCATATAAGCTATATGTTCTGAGGAAAGTTTTCCCAAGGGAGATTAAGTGAAAAAGTGATTTGGAGAATATGCATAGTGTGATCCCATTGATGCTCTAAAAAAAAAATCAAAAAACAAAAAAACCCAACCTGCGTGTGTACGAATAACTACAAAAAGTTTTAACACATGTGTTTATAAATGCACAGAAAATGGCTGGAAGGGATCCGTTCCAAACAGATTCCAATGAGGTGAGGGGTAGGATTTGGGAAGATAAAAGAGGACTTTTAGTACTTTTTGCTTTACAGGACATTGGTCTTGTTTGCATTTTCCCAAACAAGCATGTTATTACTTTGATGATTTTTTTTTAAAGAATGGAAAATGCACTTAAACATTTAAAACACTTTCCAGGAGTTCTCCACATCCTGGACTTCTGGATCTGGGTGCCATAACATCCCACATGTGACACAGGAAGGAAGAGATGGATGTACTCCCACAGGTGACTGTGAATAAATGGGGTTCAGGGAACAAGTACACAGGCAGCTGGTAAAGACAGCTCCGTGTGCAGTTGGTCAGCAGGAGGTAGGGAAGGGGTGCCAGCACCTCTCTACTCCCATACCCTGGAGAGGGGAAGCTGATGGTAAGTGAGGATGAGCTTGGTTTGGAGGAGTGTGTGCCTTTTCAGCTTATGGTCACAGCAAAGCCCTCCTTGAGGGCAAAGCTCTGGCTCCCTGTCTCCCTTCCCTCCTCTCACCTCTTGAAGGCGATGTAGGCCACGAGGCCCACAACCACAGCAGCCAGGATGGAGCAATAGACCGGGATGAGGTTGTCGGTGGTACCTCGGGTCACCACAGGCTGGGAGCTGCCCATCACTGTAGTCACCACATCGGACACTGTGCTGGTTACGAGCTCTTGGTCTGGAGGTACCTCGGGCTCTTGGGTGCTGGGGTCTGTGCTGAACGAGCCCTCCGGGGGCGTGGCCCGTGTGATCCAACGGCCAGGGATCTCTGGGAGAAAGGGCTACAGGAGTGAGGACCCTGTCCCCCCCAAGCCCCTCCCCTGTATTCTGACCCTCAGGGCTTCTTCCCCAGCCCCCGCCCCACCTCAGGGGCTTTCACGCCCAGCTGCTACACACAGGGTTGAGCTCTGGGATTGTGCATATGATGTCATGATAATGGAGAAAAGCAAAGGCCTAAGAATCAGGAGACCTGGGTCCCCTTCAGCTCTGTCACTGACTTGCTATGTGACTCTGGACCAGTCCCTTCAGCTCTCAGGACCTCAATTTCCCCATCTATAGACTGGGGATATTAAAAGAGATGTTCTTCAAGCTCCTTTCCATCTTGGGTTGCAGTTGCAGTCCTAGAATTCTACTCTGCCTACACCAGGTACCCAGAAGCCTGGCATGGAGGTAAACACACAAAGAAGAGAGTGGGCCCCCAAGAAGCCTCCTGCTGGAGTCAGCCTGGGGAAGTGTAATCTCTCTGGCCCCAGGTTGCCCTGGCGGCCCCAGTCACCCCTGTCCTAAGGAAGGATGAGGGTAATTAGGTCTGGCAGAGAGATAACTTCCCCCGCAGCACCTCCTCAAAAGCTGGCACTCAGCCTCCTTTCCGGTCTCTAATGTCCTAGCTCTAGGCTCAGCCAGGGTGGCTTGCCTCCCTCTAGCCAGTCCTTAGAGAAAGGCTAGCCTCTATTTCCTGCCCTATGTGGTCCCCAAACCCTCTCATCTTGCTACCCAGAGAGGACAGTGTCAGACAGCCCAAACCCAGCATGAGAAGGAAGAGGACTGCTGCTGGAGAGAGGGCCCACAGAGCGGGTGCCGGTGCTGCCTCAGGGGAGGGAGACTGCCTTGCCACCCACCTAGGTTCTCTCATGCCAGCTGGGCATTGCCAGCCACCCTGGCAGGGGATCCAGCACCCCCTGGCATGAGTGGCTGAGATTTTCCATTCTGCCACCCAGTCAGGGGCAGCACTCAAAGTTGTGGGCTCTGGACAGCCTGGGGGTACCTGTCTAGGCAAAGTTGCCTACATTATCTGTCCTCGCTTCCCACGTCTGAGGCAGGGAGGGAAAGCAGACAGGACATGCCAATGGGGTGAACGGTGGGCACTTTGCTCCCCAGCTCTGCCCCACCCAGCCCCCAGCTTGCCCACCCAAGTTGGAGCCAAACCTGCCCACAGGTCTCCTAGGCCTCCTTGGCTCAGGGTGAAGTTGCTTCAAAGGTCCCCATTTTCAGCACCTTCTGAGGAGTAAGGTCCCCAGATGTGAATCTGGAATCCATCTGGCTGGCACTCAGGAGGGGGCTGCCATCTGCTGCCTCCATCCCATCCTCCCCCATCTCAGTTCTGAGAGGGAGGGGTTGGAAGAGGTGGGGCAGGAAGTGGAGGAGACAGAGCCCTCCCATCTGGCAGCCCCAGACAAGGCGTGGACTGGGGAGGGTCTTCTCTTGCTCACCTAGGGACAGGGCCAGCCAGAGGGGCAGCCTGAGCTCCGAGGCTGAGGGTACAGCTCTGTTTAATTCACCCAAACCCAGAGGCTGAAGGTACGAGGAATGGGGGGACATGTCAGTGAGTCAAGCATCACAGAGAGAAGTGGGGAAGAGCTGAGAGAGGCAGGCAGGACAGACCAGGCTGAAGACAATGTCTTCCAAGGCGCCTTCCCCTCATCTCTCCAGTCCCCCCTGATGGGGGCGGGATGAGATCCAGATGTGGCCGTGTCCACTAGCATTCCAACCCACTAAGCCCTCGGCAGGTCCTGACAGCCGTTTCCGGAATGGTAGCTGTCAGACTTGGGGTGGAAACAGGGTACTCGCCCTAAACCCAAATTTCATTTGGCGGTGGGGGGATGGGTTCCACCCCCAGGGTGAGTAAGTCACCATGTTAACACTTGAAATGTATATGCAAGAAAGTACAATGCTCTGGAGGGGAGAGGGTAACCAAACTAGGAATCAAATTCCATTTCCAGAAATGTTCCTTCTGCCCTGGAGCTGACATTTACCCCTTCAGAGGCGGAGAGGGGAAGAGGCGCAGGGATAAACACACCCTTTCAAGGTGGCTCAGAAAGTGGAGTGGTAACTGGAAGGAATCTGTGAGTGCCCCCAAAAGGCAGAGCCCAGCCGTCCTGCAGCCACCACCTTCCTTTGCTCTAACTGCGCCCCTGACTGAGTTCCCCCACCAGCTGGTCTGGACTTGCCAGCAGAACTGTGCTGCCCGCCTGCCTGCCGCAGGCTGCTGAAACTCCCTCCCTACTCTGCTCTGCGCCTGACGCTACTTGCCTGTCTCCCTGCCCAGGGCAATCGCCACTGGAACCACCGTGTTCTGTGCCCCACTCCTCCTCCCTCCCTGACCCCACACCCCAGTGTAGGAAGCTTTACAAGCATACCTGGCCTCAGCCCAGCTGAACAGCCTTCTCTGCCCTGAGCTCCCTGTGCCAGAGATCACTGGATGTGGAAGGAAGGCATGGGTGTATAGGAAACGCGTCAGACTGGAGGCTCCCTATGGCAGGGGATCTATCTTTCCCATTGGACTGGGGCTGATTGAAGGCAGAGCTGTGTTGCCTCCACCAGAATGGGGCATCTCCTGGGAACTAAGTGCTGGGACCATGCCTCCCTCCTCAGACTGGGGCAAAGGCTGTCTCTGTCCCGTCAAACTCAGGCTCCCTGAAGAAGGCACCCTGAGGTGCTAGGTCACAAGGGGAAACAGTTAAATGGGTGTCCAGCCATAGGACGATGGACATAAAGTAAAGGCACTGTCAGTCCCTCTCCCGAGATGGATGTCACCAACCAGAGACCCAAACCATTCTGCCCTGGCATCCATAGTGCTTCCTCCTCTCATCCCAGAAACTGCTCCACCTGGCTCAGGGGGGCACACCCAGCTCCCATGCAGCCCGGGACCTGAAGGCCCTCCATGTGCCCCCTGCCTCATCCCCAGGCTTCTGAGTCCCAGGCCTGCTGCTCCCTTTTTTTCTCGGTCCCCAAGCTCCTGTCCCCATGACCTCTTTAGTGTCCCCTGGGCCTGACTTCATCCTTGACTCAACTGTAACAGTGACTGCTGATCCCTTCCCCACAAGTCGAAGTGAGCCTGCCCCCTTCCCTAACCCACTGCAACCCTGAAAACTGCATGACGGTGAGGAAACTGAGATCCAGAGACAGAAGTGACCTCCTTCCTTGACATTATTCAACTAGTAAGTGAGAGGGCAGACTCCATCCCAGGTCCCAGAGCCATGAATCACTATGGGTCTCAGAGCCAAAGAGTCCCAACTCCTGAGGGTCCTCAAGCCCCTTCTCCAATTCTGAGAGTCGGCCTCAAGGATCAAGTATGTCTTATTTGTGCTCTGGACACCTTGGGGCTGCTCATCTGCCACGCATCCAAACCCCAGCCAGCAGCCAGATTAACAAAGCCCTGGAAAATGAGTGAGAATGTCATAGCCGCGGCCTGGGAGGATGAGGATGGCTTTCCAAACACTTGGCCTTAAGAGGAAAGTAGTGAATGGGGTCCTTTGGTGGGAAGGATCGGGAGGGTGCCTGCTGGCTAAAGGCCTCAGGGCTACTCCGCAGGCCAGACCCGGCCCTGCCCTTCCCGACCCCTGAACCGCCCCCCTCCCCCCCGGGCGCGCTCACCCTCGCACTCGGCGTCGGCCCAGCGCGTGCACTCGCGCAGCTGGCGCTCGGTGTCCTCGCACACCGTGCAGGGGAGGCACGGGTCCACGTGGTTGGCCTCGTCGGAGTAGGTGCCGTCGGGGCACTCCTCGCACACCGTGTTCTGCTTGTCCTGGCAGGAGAACACGAGTCCCGAGCCCGCCTCGCACACGCGGCACGCCTCGCAGCGGCCGGTCGTCTCGTCCTGGTAGTAGCCGTAGGCGCAGCGGCACACGGCATCGTCGGCCTCCACGCACGGCGCCGACATGCTCTGCAGCCCCACGCACTCGGTGCACGGCTTACACGGCTCGGTGGCGCTCACCACGTCCGAAAAGGTCACGCCTGAGGGCAGATGGACCCGAGAGCCCCGCGGTTAGTCGCCTGCTCTTGGGGCACTTGGGACGCCGGGGCTGGAGACCCTCCCTCTCCATCCTGGCCCAGGGAGCTGACCCCCTTATTCCGCCCCGCCCCTTCATTGACTCCCACCCTCTTCTTTGGGTCCCTGGCCGCGGATGTGTGAAAGCTCATGGCAGCCGACTAGGAAGGAGGAAGCTCTGGCCGGGAGGCTTCACGGAGTAACCAGGTAAATTTCTTGGTAAATTCTCTTAGAGCGTTCCCGGCATGATTAAGGAATAATCATGGGCTGAACGTGGTTCCCACCTAGCCCTCCCTGCAGGCCAGAGTTGGGCTGTGAACCCAGCTCAGCCATGGCCAGCCTTCACCAGGGAGCTCCCGCCTTGGAAGCTGCCCTTCCATTCCTCTCCACACACGTGGGGGTGCAGGTGTGGCCTGCATGGGCGTGGCTAGAGTTAGACAACAGAATCTCCCACCCATGACGCTACCCAAGGGTTTGGCTCTTGAGGGCAGGGATGCGACACCTGGCAAGAAAATTCAGGTACAGCAGGAGCGACTGAAGCTAGAAGGGAAGAAGGACTTGTGTATCTAGTCCACTGCCCTTTCAAATGGCACAAAGGAAAAATTTCCAAGCTCTCTTGACTCACGCTCTCAATTAAGGGATGTGACTCCCAGAATAAGGGGAGGGAATGCTATGGGATGCTATGGGATGCCAGGAGCCTCTCCTTGTGCAAAGAGGTGAAGGCTCAGGGCCAGATCTTCCTCACCCCTTCCAGCCCAGGGTGGAGAACTCCATGCCAAACTGAATCCAAAAGAATATATCCTTGCTCCAAGGGCGGGAAGAGGGATTTAGAACCTGAGAACAGGAGAAGGATTGCTCAGACTATGGAAGCAGAGATAGAGAGATTAGGATCCCATTGGAGGGAATTCAAGGCTTGCCCTGGGGTCCTATCTTAACCTTCTTCTAAAGGCTTCAAGAGACAAGATGGAGCACGAGATGGAGGGTCATTATCTTGGGGGTGGGGGTAGGGCTAGAGGAGCAAAGAAGGAAAAAGCAGAGAAGTGAAAGGGGCAGCAACTGGGGAGAGGAGGGCAGGGAAAGAAAAGGCAGAGATGGGCCTGGAGGGAGATTTCAGTTTCAAATCAGTTCTGGCAGAGCTCTGTGTTTCTCTTCCCAAGCAGATCAGGCAGATCTGGATTCTAAACCTGCTTCCATCACTTAATTAGCTGTGTGACCCTGGGTGTTTTACTTGACTTCTCTGAGTTTTTTTTTTTTCTTTCTCTGTAAAACAAGGACTAATATTTCCACTTACAGGGTTGCGGTGAGGAATAAGTGAAATTCCACCGTAAAGTCCTTGACACACAGCAGGGATCCTGTAAAGGATGGGCCCCCTGGGGTAGGCAATGATAAATTCAAAGAACTTCAGTAGCAGGGATATAGTCAGACAACAGAAAGGACTTCCAAACACAGACAGCCAAGGCAGGAGGCCCAGTTTATGCAAGAGGTTCCAGTCTGGTTGGCATGTGGCAGGGGATGGATCTAGTCACACAGGAGGGGAAGGGGAGGGCCCTGACCATGGGAAAACACAGAAAACTAGCAGAAAACTCCTGGGAGAAGGTTTTAGGGGGTGAAAAAAATGTGGTATTTTTGGCAAAGAATGAAGGCAGGAGCTTAATGGGTTTCCTTGTGGAAATGTTTTGAGGATAGAGGGAAAGTCCACTGGGGTCTCCATCCCATAAAGTTGACTTGTAAAGGCAGCCTATTAACACAGCTGGGGTGTAGGGGATGTGAGGGGGAATGGGGTGGTGGGGAGGGAGGGGAGCAGAGGGAGGAAATGGGAGGGAGGATTCTGAGCAGGTCTCTGCTCCTGTCTCCCGTCCCTTTCCCAGGAGATGCCCTCTCTCAGGCTCTTCTATCCCACCCCTTGCTTTGACAGAAGGGAGTGGGGTCCCATCCTGGGACAGGGTCCAGGGAGAAGAGGCTCTGAGCAGCAGTTTAGGAAATGATAGAGGCAAACGTGGGAAGTTCCAGGGTAGCTAACCCTGCCCTGGGATGGACACCCTGTTAGGCCAGGGCCAGGGGAGGTGGTCAGATGACAAGGTAACAAAGGCATTACAGGATGTACAGTCTCCCCACCTGGCTCTAGGCATCCGTCTACTGGGGAATGGAGTTACAAGATCCACAAGCACAGAGATAGGAAAACAGTGTGTTTGAGACACCAAGAAGTTGCGGCTGCCTGAAGGATAAATATGCTGTGTGCACGCACACATCCAATGGGAAGACAGGCTGGTGGGTGGGTTCAGGGTTCCTATACCCTTGTTTTCAGCCTGATTAAAGAATAATCTAAGTATAATTCCCACTGGCCCTCCAGGTGGGCATTGAGTGCCAGGTCTACTTTCTAGGCAGGATCTGACTATTAACCATGAGGAAAGGTTTCCAGGCAGAGTTGGGGAAAGGACACTGAGCCCACAGCCTGAAGGCAACTGAGGCCAGGGGCATCCAGCAGAGACTCCTGAGTCAAGCATACAGAATTGCAGACCCCAGACCCACCATCTTTCTGCCTCCCTCATCCAGCAGCCCTGGAAGATGGGGCTGTCTCCCCTCCTCAAGAAAATCCCAGGTAGGATTGGCCACAGCACACCATCCCCTGCATAACCCCCAAGTAAGAACATCCTCATTGTCTTCGCGCTCCCACTCCCATCCCCACTGCCTGGGAAAGCTCTGTTTCCTTGGTCAGAGCTGGAGAACAGTTGGCCTAGGGGGAGGGGAAGCCACACCCTCCCAGGATCCCCCAAGGTCAGTCTCCAGGGCAGCTAGGATTTGATCCTCTTCCCCTCCCCCCAAACACACTGAGGGTAAGAGGCAGCCATTGATTTTGCAGTGCAGATGATATTTTTAGCTGGTCTCAGCATCAGCGACTCCTCCCACCTGGCCACACTCTTCTACCAGGCCTCTCTGCGTGGGGGCTGGGAACGGGCACCTCCTGGGGATCCCCCATCAGATTCCCCCTCCTCCCTCTGTAAACTTCCCTCATCCCTCTCTGCCTCCTATACTGGGTAAGACCCACTTCTGGTGCCCATGCAGTGGTGGGCAGGAGACCCTGCCAGGATGCAGAGCACTTGTAAGGCCTCTACTGGGCATGCCCTCCAGCCCCCTTAACCTTGCTTCCATTCAGTTCCCCTCCCCTCCACCGGACACCCTATACTCACTGTCCAGGCAGGGCTCACACACGGTCTGGTTGGCTCCGCAAGGCTGGGCCACGCCCTCGCCCAGGTTGCAGGCTTTGCAGCACTCGCCGCTGTGGGTGTACAGGTCCGTGGGGCACGACTCTCTGGCACCTCCAAGGGACACCTGGGTGGGGGAAGACCAGAAGGTCAGACTGGCAAGAGAAAGAGGAGGGAGGTGGATTCCAGAGAGCAAACACTCCTTCCTAAAGCCTTCTATTGGAACCATCTGGGCCAGGATGAGCTCACCAGGGAGGCATTTGGCACATGAAAACTGGTGAGGAAAAAAGGCAGTTGGGGACAGTGCGCCTCTGCAGGCTGCTAGGGGTCTGAGGCCAGAGCCTCAAATGGTGGCTTTCTGCAGAGGTCATATTGGGGTTATAGCAACTCTACACCATGTGGGGAAGGCGACCTGAGGCCCAGCAGAGGGCCTTCGGACTGTCATCAGGAACCCGTGGGCAGGTTGCAGCTTGCACAGGGCTCCCAGCCAAGGGGGCTGAAATCTAGTCCAAATGCCACTTGCTAAGCTGCACACCTGCATGGGATGCATCTACTCAGAGGAGAATCTTTTTCTAAGAAAGGCTAGCAGGGCTCTGCTCCCGGTCCTTAATTCTACCATTCCACATATTAAGCATCAAATGGGAGGTGTCTGTCCCCAAGAACAGAATACAGAAGCTTGGGGCCTTGGGTTCAAATCCTGGCCCTACCCTAGGAGTTCTGACCCACTTTGCTTTCCCTCTCTGAGTCTTCATCTCTCTGGACAGTTAGAGATGGAGACAGCTCAGGGTCAAAGCAAAAGACCAGCCAATCATCCAGAGTCTGGCATCAAGCGGGGAGAGAAGGATGCCTGTTATCAATGATGAGAAAGTGGCTGCTCTCACCACCCAGCAGCCCTGCTCCACCAGGGTTTGATTTCCAGCCACCAGCCCTCCCCTCTCCCTGCCCCCTATGCAGCCAGTGGGAACAGCACTGGAAGCAGGAGAAAGGGGAGTCAGATTCCTGCCACCAAGGCATCTTTGCTCATGGATGGAATGATTTAGCACCAGATTCCCTAGAGGGAGGGGCTGCTGGCAGCTTGCTTTATATTTCTGTTCCTTAAAAAAAAAATCTTAATGTCTAATAAAACTCCAAAGCCTGTTTCCCTGGCTCCAGACCATGCAGCTCCCATTTGATGCTCAGGAAGTAGGGGTTTCTTGGGTCACGGGACTAGAGGGGAGCTGTAAAGGTCATTTGGGGCATTCCTCTGCTTCCACATTGGCAAGACAAGACCATGGCCAAAAATGCTTCTTTCCCTCCAGTCCTTTAAAATATCCTGAGGTCTCATTAGGGTTTGATGGAGGCAGGGGGATGGATAGGTTGGATCATTGTAGGAGGCAGCCTATTGTCCTCCTAGACTGGTGAGGAGGCTGCAGGTAGCATAGGCGGGGATCCTTGGGTGTTGCCACCAGTGTCATTCCAGGTGGCAGGAACACAGTGCTGGGAACACCTGCAGACCAGAAGCTTGGCATTGGGGGGATAGTCCCAGATGCAGGCTTTTCCCCAGCGTGCGAGCAAGATTACAGAAGGATCTGTTCAGATTTCTTTTCATCCTTTAGGGTTCTGCTTAAATGTCAATTCATCAGGTAAGTGGTCCTGTTGCCCCAACCCTCCCAGCTCAGGCAGAGCTGCCCTGTCACATGTCCCTCTTGTTTCACTATCCTTATTTGGGCTGACACTCTACAAAGTTCCCCACTAGACTGTCAGCTCCCTGAGGGCAGGGACTGTGGTTGCCTCAGCGCTGCCACAGCTGGTACCTAGTGCATATTAGGAACCCAATGTGTATATTTATGAAATTTAAGAACATGAAAATACGATGTGGCCTCAATTAACTAGAACCCCAGGGATTGATTTTCTGCATAGCTGAGTTTCCCAAAAGTCAAGGATTTGTAGCTCGGCTCACCTAGTGTTTTTCACTTTAACCATGCACCTTCTTGTACCTCCCGGTCTCTGGAACATACCTTCACAATTTCCCCTATTACTCAGGGGCCCAATATTTACACCAGTGATTTTTCTGGGCTGCAATTAAGTGTGTTCTTTATCCCAAGTGACCACACGTTTGTCTGAGTTCTCCTGTCAGTTTTTCTTAGAATTTTTCTCTCTTCCCTTCCTGTCAACAGATCAGTTGTCAATTCTTGCTGCTACCAGCGTCACCTGAGCAGCACCTCCCCCATTCTAATTTATTAGGCCTAATGGAATCTTAAGAAACTGTGTAACTAGCCCTGGTAGAGAGATGTATCAAGTGAGTGTAAGTAGGATCAGAACCAGGTGGGAGCCAGCTCTCAGAGCAGAAGTGTGAGCTATACTGCCTTCCTCCTCAGTTGCCTTCATCGCTCTGAATCCTGGCTCATGCTTAGAGCTGAGTGACCTGGGGCAAGTTTTAAATTCCTCTCTGCCTCAGTTTCTTCGTTATTAGGTAATCATGACAGTACCTGCTTCAGAGGGGTGCAGTGAGCATTGAATAAATGAATAGGGTGTTTATTTACTTTGGGATTCCTCTTTTCTGTTCTCCAAGGTCTTTCTTGCATCCTTTGTGGCTTTTGGCTGTGCTCCAGTTACTTGGGACTGGGCTCCAGATAGCTGAGGGGGTCTGTCTGTGACAGTGGTGGATGGAGCAGCATTCTCGCACATTCTCGCGCAAGCCCCTCTTCTTGGCGCCTGCTTTCTCAGTTGCTGCCTGTGGTCCTCTCTTCTCCTAAGTCTTGCATTTGGAGTTGAGGCCACATAATTAGTAACCATGTGTTTCCTGTGCTTGTTTTGTTTTCTATTTCAAAACATTCCAGATCTGCTACTTAATAGTATGCTACTTTGGATAAATTCTCAGTCTCTCTAAGCCTCAGTTTTCCCACCTAGAACATTGGGTTGGTGATATCTACTGCCCAGGATTGCTGTGAAAGTTCAATGAAGTGATTCATGCAGCTCTGTCTGGTGCATAGTAGGAGTTCAATAAGTGTTAGTTATCAAAGAAGTATCTTGTCTGGCAGAGATGGGGGAGTGGTAATGGGAGGAGAGTTTAGCCATCCCCAAAGAACGGAAGTCATCTCAGAGTAGGGGGTAGGATAGAAATGAAGAAAAACCTACCCACAAGAAGAGTCTAAAGAAGGTATGCAGACCAAAGGAGGATGGGGAACTGCTCTCCTTAAATTTTAACTAATTCAGCAACTATTTACTGAGCATTGAAATAAGAGTTTCCAATGAGACACGGTCCCTAACTTCTGCGGGGGATTCCAGTCCCATGAGGGAGAGGAATTATCACCCCAAAAACCTGCTCCAGAAACTGAAGAGGAAAGACTTGAGGGATGCCCTTCATCCCCTCTTTGGCAGATGTGAAAACTGAGGCCCACAGAAGGTCATTCTACTAAGTGGCCTGATGCACCGCTCTGGCCACACCCTCTATTGGTCCGAAGTGGGGCAATCTTGAGAAGCAGAGAGGAATGACTAGGATTCAGGCTAATTGCTCCAAAATGATCAATTTACCAAAGTGATGGACACATTTGCCTGAAATTTACATTTATTACACTTGCTCATTCCATGTTTGATGGGGTGATTTCATTCCATTTTTGAGAATGTTTGCAAATCTTTTTTTCTCATTTCCAAGTTTTCAAGAAACTAAGGTAGAATTGACTTTTAAGAAGTTAATTTTTTTTAATTGGGCAAAATAGAAGACACACCAACATAGATGAAAGAATTTTAAACTATATGAAGTCTTCAGTGTGATGTTTCCTAACAATTCACAACAGCTTCAGCCAGGGGTTCCTTAGTTGAAAGGAGTCACTGGCCACCATCATGGGTTGGAGAGTTTTCAAATATGTGAAGGGTCTTTTGAGATCCACGCAAACCCTGGGGCACTGGCTCATGCCCTCCACCCCTTTAGATAAGGGTGGAGTTTGGAATCTGAGACAAGTGCTAATTACTGAGAAGGGTGCTGTAGGGAAGACTTTGAAATGGGGCCGGGCTCTGAGTAGGGGGTGGGGTGGGGAAGGGGCTCAGTTACAAATTTGTGGTGCCAAGGGCACGAGACAGGTGTAATTTCCAGGTCTAGTAGTGGTTCAGGGCCAAGTGACCTTCCGTGATCTAGAAGTTTGTACGGGGAGTGTGGGGAGTGTGCCTGGCATAAGGAGCAAAGAGTAAACTCCAAGCCAAGCATCCTGGCTTCCAACAAGGGCACCAACACATACTAACTGAGGGAGCCTGGCTTCGTGCCTGTAGCTCCGGGAGGTTCAGCTCCCTCAACAGTCAAATGGGAATAACTAGATTGCTGGGACTTTAAAAGGATTAAATAACACGAGAAATTACCCAAGGCAGTTCGTGGCACATAGTAGGCATTCAACCCATTTTATTATTCCCGCCTCCCCACCCTGCACCCCCAGGGAAGAATCTAGGCGCGTGAACGGGACCAAGCTGGTACAGCGGGATGGGGACCCCTTTCCCTCCCAGAGTCGCCTCCCCCACCCGACCGCTCCCGTCCTCGCATTTGCTACCCTCGCTGCATCCCTATTAGGCGCATTAGCCAGCCCGGCGGCTCCGGTTACAGACGTCTGAATGACAAAGTGCCTCCATTACCGGCGTGGCCCGCCAGCCGACCCGCCGGGACGCGCTCTGGTTTCAGCACTCTCTCGCCGCGGCCCAGGAAGAGACTCGGACCGCCGCGGTGCGCACAGTCAGCCCTTAGACAGCAGCCCCGCGGCGAGGCGGAGGCCAGAACCGCGGGGGCTGCAGGCGGCAGATTCTGCACGGGGTCCACCGTTCTCAGCCCCAGGCCCTCCACGCCCAGCTCCCCTCCTTCCTCGCCTTTTCTCTTGTGGAGTGGGGGACACTCTCTCTAGCCCAGATCCGGAGCACACGCCCTCGCCCCTCCGGGATCCGCACTACTGGCCGCCCCAGTCCCGCCTCCCCGCCCCCCACCTTCCCGGCGGAGAAGCACCCTACCCCGCGGCGTTAGTCAGCAAACGTGCCCGCAGTCATTGTCAAATCCCCGGACGAAGCTACAGGTACTGACAGCCCAGGGAAGCGGGGCTGAGCTTCGGGGTTGGGGCCAGAACCCGGAGGGTGGTTTCTGCCCATCCCAGTCCCCAGATTCCGCCCGCCCGACTCTAGGGATGGTGTCCAGCCACCCGCTGCCGAGACACGCAGCTCTTATTCTGAGCTGGGACGCCGGGCTGCCCCTTAAGAGGTACGGGGAGTACAGAGCTGGGAATCAGGTGAAGGACAGTCTAACTTGGATTAAGTCTAGCTAGGCTCAACTTGGTTGGGAGATCCTGACAAATTGGTTTAAAGTCTCAGAGCCTCAGTCTCCTTGTCTGTAAAACGGGGATTTGAGGACGCTCAGATGCTCAGATGAGAGATGACGATGACAGGGAGAGTGAGGACACCTCCACTGCCAAACCTTCCAGGCACTCTGTTTATGGCCAGACACCAGGTTACATCTCTTTAATATCTTGTCATAACTACCGGCCGGACATCAATGCTTACGAGGACCGGCAGTCCTTTGCCTAGACAGAATCCGTGGCGTCCGAGCGCCTCCGTTTCACTGGGTGCCCAGAGTCTTTCACTGAAAGCTGAGGGGGCCGCCGACGGAATTCCCACCCGCCTGGGCGCGGAAACGGAGCGAACCGCAGGCTGGGCGCTCAGGTTCGTTTAAACTTAAGTGCGGGGTCAGGGTGGCGGGTGCAGCGCGCGGCGGTGTGCGCCTATCTGTGTGCTCACGCCCTCGGACGTTCGCGACGCCCG